GTCTATTTTCTCTAATTTAGATCTCCATGCACACCTCCTGCACTAAGGTGACAATGATGCCCGGGCAGCTCTCTAAGCAGGAATAGTGTTTTCCCCATAGAAATGGCCACTCCTGCTGGGTACTGCAAATGTAGGGTGTTAATGCACAGGGTGTCAGAATGTTCAGCTTGCAATCTCAGAGTGATTTGTCCCTAGGAAGTGAACTCCACCCATTGCACCGTCCAACCCCATTGATTGACAGTGACTGCCTAGGTCAATGCTTCAGACTCTGAATTCACTGTACACAAAACAGAAGTGGAGTAGTCACCACTGTGTGCTTTGAATTTGACAGAGAAATTGGTAAGCTTAATGTATTTTTTAAAAAGAACCTTAAAAACTTAAAGCAGAACTCCAGGCAAAAAATGTTCTTGACCCTTGCAGTGGGACTACCCCCGCACTGCAAGGGTTAAGTGCTCATTTTTGTCTAGGTCCTTGGAGCCTCCCTACCCCTCCACTGCAGCAGTCTAAGGATCCCCAGGTCATCACATTCTATACACAGAGTATTGGACGTGAGGACGCTGAGGGACATACCATCGCTGCATAGGTGCGTAGGAGGAGACAGGCTTCAGGGACTGGAGTAGCAGCCAGCCAGCTCCGCAGTTCAGGGGAGTATACCAAAAATGAGAACTTAACCCTTGCATTGCATTTTTGCCCGGAATTCTGCTTTAAAGTGTATTTCCAGCCAAACTAGAACAACACCTATGTTTGTTACATTTCCATTTACATAGCACATATTTAAATAAAAATGTTGCTTACCATTTTACTTGCTCATGTCTGAAAACTCCAAAACTGAAGTTTTTCCATTCTTTGTAAATTCAAGGAGGGGGCTGGGGAGTTGATATTTAAACTAATTACCCTACCTGTACTGTGCTGGCAGATCTCATGATCAGTCATAAACTAGAGCTGAACAATCTGTCCTAACAAAGGGTAAAATATCGAGAAGCCTGGCTTCTGCATTGTATGTTAATAAGGAGATGCGCAGGCTGTCCCCAAAGGGACTCACTTTGAAATTGTTCAGAGTAGCTTGCAATCTGCCAAAAGGTCTGCTCCCTAGAGATATCTAAAAGGTAAGATTTTTTCTTTTTTAATAATTTTTAGGTATGCTGTCTGAATGGCAACACATAACAAACATAAAGTGGGGTTTGACCGCCAACATGGAAAAACACTTTAAATCTTGGTGCCTTTCTCCTGCTAGTATTTTAGAAGGAGGGTTTCAGTTATCCTTTCAATGCAAAATATAAAGTTGTATACTTTTATATTTTCTGTACTATTCAATATTTTGAAGAGTTACTCTTAGCATTGACAAATACATTCCTATTCCAAAAGATACTTAATAACAGACACTGTTTTGAACTGTGATTACAGCTTATTGTTCTATATCAGCTGTCTTGCCAGAGATGGGACAGAAAGTCTACTGTGTTTTCTTTTAACACACACAAACTGACAATTTTTATTGCGTTGTGCTGATCTTATTTAAAAAACAAAATGTATATTCCCTTTTGAGGCCATTAAAACATCTCATCAAACAAAATAGGAAACAGGCAGCAGACAAATTATGAAAATGTGATACTGGCAGAGAGAGTCATTTATAAGGTTTGTCATCTTTTCCATGTGTGTAGATTTTCTCAAAGCAACTATACAAACAGCCAGGATTTCAGATGATGATTCTACAGTAGCCTGTACAGCAATTAATCTCCCACAGTGATTTATATGCATTGTGTATGAGACAGTCACTGTTGCTGACCTCTGTACCCTTACATAATCACTTATACATTTACAATCACAATCCATTCTAATGTTAAGACCAATTACCCACGACTGTATAACAACAATAGTGGCGATGCCTTTGTTCTCTTGTCTCTACTATAATGTTTGCATTATGCAATATGGTTCCAAAGCAGTCAACCGCTCCAAATTCAAAGCCAGCTCAAATCACATTCATATCTCATGTGCAGGCAAACAGTTGCGTCCTCACCTCCAACAGATACATCTCCAAAGCAGCCGCACTCCATGGGTAAATGAACAAAACTTTATTGTAGACAGATATACACTGTTAATCAGTCTAAAGACTTTGCTGCCCAAAAATCCATTGCTTCCCCATTACTTGTGTTAAGTAACTTGCTGCCTTGTGTTAAAACCATCACCAAGATGGAAACTGACATTACAGAGGACTTAGATACTAGCTGCATCTGCACAAGTGAGTTTACATGGAAATGTTTTATTTTTATATGAAACATTTATAAAATAACTGGTTAGGTGCTAGGTCTCTTCTAAGTGTCCATGCTGCATCCACCAAGCACTCAGACATTCATTCAATTTTGTAACCTAGACTACAAAATGACATTAAAGCAGCAGGTTGCTTGGCACCAAGCTTAATTATAATTGAACTTATCGTGCAATATTGTATTGATGTAAAAAGAACCATTCTGAAGAAAAAGAATTAAGTTTTCCGTTATAAGCCAACTGTACCCATAAATATCTATTTCAATTTTGTATGGTTAATAAATAAGTTAAACCCCATTCTCACTTCCTGTACCTTTTAGCGACTCCAGTAGTGAGATATCCCCACTAGAACACTAGATCCCTTCAACTGTTCTGCTTACTACAAAGCCAAGAGATGAAGCCATCTCCCCTAAGGCATTCCTCATATTGTACAGAAACACCCAAACAAACTGGAAACTACAGCTGAAATGTGACACTTTTATTAATGGCTTTGTGAGAGGGGATGGAGACACAAACTGCTACATAGATCAGGGCTGGACAAATCCCAAGAACCAGGTAAGCAATGCTCCTTAATATTTACATTTACAAATTTAAAAATGGCGCCTAATTTTTCAGGTTTCCTCTAGTTGTTGTCAATGGAGCGGATACCTAGATTGGACAGTCTGTCTCATGGATTCCATATTAATTTGTCCACTCCTGGAACAGATATCTTTCCGTTGGAGTTTCTGAGAGATGTAACATGCCAATAAAGATACCACTTTGGGCAGAGTTAGCCTTCAAAGATTGGTAATCCAAGGGTGAAATAGGGCAGTACCCCAGCTTAATGTTTTTTGAGGTTTTTTCACCTCTGTTATGTCTCTCCCGCCTTTTGTTGGCATATCTGGTTGTAGCCAAATAAGGTAAAAAATAAATGTTAAAGCAATGTTAACCATCATATGGTGTATACTGCCTTCACTGCAACAAACAATCCACTTTTTTTAGACATTTTTAGACATGGGGCTTGACACCCATGAGCACTAGCATTGCAGATTCTTTATGTTTGCTGAAACAAGTGGGAAGAGCTGGGTGATAAGAACTTCTGGGTAGAACAAGAAGCCAAAGGGTGATTCACCATACCAGCTTCCACTACAAATTAAAAACTTGTGGGCGATCTGACTCTTCAAACATAATACACTGAAGAATATTTTTGTTCTCTCTGACGAGAAATGCTGATATCACCCAACCAACACCCCCTTCCGAGAAAGCAGAAAGATTGATGACCTTCTAATGAGTATATCTGAGTTTCTTCAGCCTCTACTTATCCAGATGTCTCAAGTAACAACTTTTATTAGTTTAATACAGATGAAGTCACAGGCAAACATTGCTCTGGTATATTATAGCAATACAGCAAGCACTTTAATAAACTGATAAATTTAACAAAAGCAATTAAAACAGAAAAACAACTGTAATATAATATCAATTTAAAAGGGTTTTTATCTAAGAAGAATAAATTACATTTTATGATGCACACCTCAGTCATTTTATATGATAATACAAAAGGAACGCAAGAACATTTCAAAGCTCCACCGTGATGTCCTTGTTGTAAGTAAATTCTACCACATTTTAAAGAATCCTGCCCCTTTACATTACAGTTTATAGATATTTATACTAAATAGTGAAAACAGTAATAACCAAGAACAGCCAATTACAACACTTTTTTCATTATTCTGACTGCTATAAACGATGGCATTGAATTGGTTGGTATTGGTTATTTAATTGCGTGGCAGTTTTCACTGCCTTATAAATAAATGTAACTTTATATTTTGTAAATGTTGTTCTTGTTTTATCATTTGTAGTAGCACAAATATAATACACACTCATTATCTGTACATGTACAGTATATATAGTAGAACTCATTATTTGTGATTTTCAAGGGTTAGCCAAAATGTATTAGATTCCCTTAATGTTATTCTTCCCCCCTCCCCACCCCACTATTATTTTTTTCAGAACCGAGAACAGTCTTTCTATAATGCATCCTTAATGATACCTGTTGTTAAAATCTGGTATTATGACATCTCCTGCCAAACATAATCTTGCTGTATAAAAGCACTATATCCAACAGAAATACTCTGTAAATTGTGACGCAATCAACAGCATGAGGACAATGATTCCTTGCTGCTAATGAGGTATAAGGATATGAGGGAAGTGGAGCTCTCTATACTTCACTGTTATGAAGCCTGAGAGCATTTATATATAGGAAATAGTATGGACACAATGAAACATAACAAGCACAACAGTCAATAAATGATTGCCAAGTATAGTTAAAGCCACATTTGATAAAGCTGCCTTGCTCTGGAGATCTTTAGCCTGGGTTGCCAGCTCTTCCCTTTAATTACTGACAACCATGAATTACACTGGCCCTGTGCCTGATTAAATCCAGGTAAGGCATTGACTGAATCCAATCAGCCAAAGGACACATATAACTTTTGTATGTCACTAATTGCTGAATGAAACAAACATGGCTCAGTCCCCCAGCTGGTGTCCCTCCCTACAGACTAGAAGACGTTGGGGACCGGACCTCAGTGGGCCCCTCAACTGCCTTGGGCCCTGGGCCCCCGCACCTGCTGCACCGCCGGTAGTTCCGCCCCTGCTTGTACTGCAGTCATATGTTTCACTAACACAAAGGTTTTTCATGCATATTCACTGACATTTAAACATTTTAAACAGAAAACAACAAAAAAGTTAAAGCAGAAGCTTACTGGAACAAAGTCATCAGGCCCACATTCCTCTCCCCGGAACTTGCAGTTTAGAAGCATGTCTTTGATGTCATGGCCAGCGCGGTCATAGAATTCCTTCATGTTGAATGGCTTTGGTTTAAAGTTGCGGAAGTTAGCTTTATCTTGTAAGGTTTCCATTACTTTCTCATCGGCAAGGTGAGAATCTGGTAGCTCATAGCTGAAAAGAAATGGTAAAGGGCATTGTTATGTAACAGTGGAAACAAGAACACACATTAAAATAAGAAGACACAGTGTACAATAACAGCCCAAGATAATAGACCAGGAATGTGCAGCAAACCATAGCAACCATTATCATTTCAGAGCCAGATCAGTAAAAAATAGATTATGGTACATGTGTCACAATCTAAGCAGCTTCTAAATACTATGTGATGCACAAACCCCATAAAGCAAAAAAAGAACACTTGCTTTGCCTTCCCTCAGTGAGCCAAAATTATTTATTTGTGTCTCATGTGCTCCCCCTCCCAGACACTGCAGGTCACAGTAGGTGGGTCAATCCAAAAAACAGTGGACAGGGCTTGCAGGTGCAGGTTGACAAGCTACAGGCTTGAGGCCACGTTCACACCAAGTGCGTTCCAGGAGCAGAGCAGTTACAGACCGGATCAAAACTGCGTCCAATGTATTCCAATGGTAATTTGGGCTCTAGTTCACACTGCAGCGTTTAGTTCCAGAGCATGTAAAAAAACTGCAGCAAGCCCTATTTTACCTGCTCTGGAACGCATGCAAACGCATTAAAAACCCATGCAAATGCCCTGGAACGCACTGAAAGCCCATTCTAAACTAAAAAAATATATACATTTTTTTTTTAACCAAAAACGGCCCGGAACGCATCAAAAAATGCGGCACAACTCACTGCACTGCGTGTGCAGAAACTTGGTGTGAACAAGCTCTGAGAATCAGCCCTTCCAATGAACATGTCCTCTGCAATGTCTTTCCATCCCATTGTAGTGTAAGCAGGCACAGCCTACATGAGGGTGACAATGCTACTCTGAATTCAGGAACAGTGCAGCAGTATTGTCAACATTATTAGTTGAGCTGCATGAGGTAGACTTTATTGGCAGGATCAATAGATATTTGCATAAGACTTTGCAGGCAAACTAAGGGATAACTGCCAATGCACTTAAAGACACTAAACTCAGGAGTTAAAGTTTAAAAACACATTCAAGTACCCTAACTATTAACACAAATGTATCTTATTTGTCTATCACTTGGTTGCAGATCCTCAAATCATCTCTGAATTCATGCTGACAGTGTCCTTCCTTCTGGAGGGTGGCTACTTTATTTCCCCATGGTCCCTATGTGTGTTGTAAAACAGTATCTCAATACAAATTAAGAAAGTAAACATGAGATTGTAGTCCATCATGGGAGTAAGCTTGGTTTGGTGGCTACTTTACAACACACACCGGGACCATGGGGAACAAAAGTAGCCACGGTCCAATGTCAGGGCCAATTCAGAGATGATTTGAGGATCTACAGCCGAGTGATACACAAATAAGACACATTTTTGTTCATAGTTAAGGTACTTGAATGTATTTTTAAGATTTAAAATCCTGAGTTTAGTGTCACTTTAAAATTAAATGCTGCAGCACATATTTTTAAATGGGTGGCCATAGTTTTACTTTAATTCTAGTTGTTTATTAACAGTTGCAGAACTTCAAAAATCTAATTTGCGCTGATTTACTGTCAAAGCAAAGATTGTATTTCACTCATTTAGCTACAACATGCCAAGTCACCTGTGTCTGTGACCTTTAAATGACCTGTAAATAGTTTCAAGCTACCAAATGATTCAATGTGCTATTCATTCTATTGCGCATTAATGGAAAATACAAATATGTGAGTTTCTTTTTAGGAATACAAGAAAAAAGGCATATGGAACAAGGGGCCCAAATTTAAAGGGGCTGGGAACAATATTTATACTCCAGCAGCTGCAGAATGATAAAATGAATGGTACACTCCAGTCAACCTAACAAATAATAGCAAAACACAGTGACAGGGCCATAGTTTGGAAATTATAGTCCTGAATTTATGATATTAAGTATCTAGCGCTCTCAACCCCTCCCATCAGAGTCTCTGGGGAGTCTAAGCAAAATTAGCAGTTTATATCCTCATGAACTATCAGAAACATTCATCTTGTCTTTAAGTATCTATTTTATTGATAAGACTCTGTTTTGTTTAAACTACTTTATATAAAATGAACAAAGTGACGTTCTTTTAAAATCTGCCTTGCTAATAGCTACAAATGAATGCGTCTTCTTTATATGAATATTTCTCTTTTCAAAATGTACTAAAAGGTCTTAAACTGACAGCTAAAGGTAAAGGCTTCTTTATTTTTTTGTAAAATGACAGATGTTTGTGGTTTATTGCAGATAGGCCAAGTTCTCTAAAAAAATGATTTTTGAAAACTAGGCCAGGTCTAACTCCTCAAGTGGTCAGTTCAGTTTGATTTAGATTTTGACGCAGCAATAGTGCTTTTTTTGTGGTTTTGGACAGTTAACTAGCTATCTGCTGTGCTAATTAATCAATTTTGATTGGATAATTTGTATTTTTATATCCACCTATTATAGGAGGTAACTGGGATATATCTGATGAATTATGTTAATATCCTTTGCCTTAAAAACTAATGTAACTAACTATATCAACACAGAATGTTAATCTGACATCCTGTCCAATACCTATTGATGATTAAACTTGGCATTGGCAAGAACACAGTTTCTGTTCCTGGTTCCAAGGTGGTCTGCGAGGTCACATGCTTCACCAATTCTTAAGTCTATGAAATCGATTTTTCTTAATGAGTTTTTACAACATACAATGACTGAAAGAAGCTTAAGACAGGATGCTCACATATACTGTATATATTTTCTTATCTATATTACCATACCTAGGGCTGAAAAGACAGTTGAGAATTCCACCACTTGTAGATGGTCTGGTATGCTTTAATAGGTATTGTGGCTAATAATTTATGAACATTAGTAATCCAATGTATGTAAAGTCGCACCCAAGAGCCACAACCTCAATGTAAAAAAAGTTTATTCCCAGGAATCTAAAACGTAACAAGCACAACAAGATCCACAGGCTCTGACATGTTATACCAAAAAGGCTTAAGGAGAACTATGAGGGGAGTCATTTGGACTCATTCTCATAGTTAGAGCCAACCTGTGACAAAGAAGCTGTCACAGGTCGGCTCTATCGATCGGGAAGTGAACAGAAACATACAGCCGATCCGCTCACTTCCCGATTGTCTCCCCACAGGGATTCCCCCTCCCCCTCTCCGATCCTCCAGCGCTGAGTGGAGGAACGAATGGGGAGGGGGTGGGCACAGCTGGCTCTGCCTCCAGATAGGCAGAACCAGCTGTCACTCACGCAGCTGGGTGGATCTCAACAGTATTGTCGGGATCTGTCCCGGCTCTGGCACTCTCAGTAGATCGCGGGCAATAGCCCGCTATATACTGAGCTTTGGTTCACCGGAGCAGGTTAGTATATGTCCTTCCGTGACCCTAAAGAGAACTATGGGCAAAAATGCTTACCCCCATAGTTCTCTTTTAAACATAGAGCCTGTGGACCTTGCTATTTTTGTAGCATTTTAGATTCCGGCAAATAAACTTTTTTACATCGAGGTCCTGGCTGTTGAGTGCGGCTTTACAAACATTGGATTACTAGTGATAGCTGCGGCTTGCCTCTGTTGGCCGGCACCTGGCTTTTTGGATGGGATCGGTGAGTCTGGGCATACAGATATGAGCAGTGTCCTTTTCACAAACATTTACATTTATGAACATTCTTCACTAAATTGCAAGCCGTGACTGCAGTTCAGAGTGAACCGAAGGGCTCCCAGAACCGAAGCTAGCTGAAGGTTCCTTTGGCTAGCTTTGTGAATAACCCTCTTAATATGACACTAAACTCACAAGTTAAATCTTAAAAATACATTCAAGTACCCTAACTATTAACAAAAGTGTAGCTTATGTGTGCATCACTCAGCTGTAGATCCTCAAATCATCTCTGAATTCATGCTGACACTATCCTTATCACGGAATCGAGCTTGGAGTGGTGGCTACTTTACAACACACAGGGACCATGGGGAACAAAAGTAGCCACCCTCCAGAAAGAAGGACGGGACATGAATTTTGAGATGATTTGAGGATCTACAGTTAAATGATACACAAATAAGTTAAATTTTTTGTTAATAATTAAGGTACTTGAATGTATTCTTAAGGTTCATCTCCTAAGCTTAGTGTCAGTTTAAGCCTGATTATTGGCAACCCTTGTGGGTGCTGTTCAGTCCAGAAACAGGACAGGTAACCACAGAACAGGTAGGAAAACCCCAAAATTTACAAGCAGCTCCTGTGGGAGTCATCGCTATATAAATACAGTAACACCTTTTGGATGGTATATATCCTATTGACAGTCTTGGTGGAAAAATGCAGACATCGGTTTTACTGCCCATGCAGTTAAACAACGCGCAATGTAACAACTAAATTGTTATACAGCAAAAACCCATACACCCTGAAAAAATACACTGCAAAGCAAAGCCATACACCATGTGCACATAAATATACTAACTGGATGTTACATCACATGACTTTCCACACACGTGTTAGTACCTACTAGGCGTGAAGATGGACCAATCTTTGATTAAAGTAGATGTAAACTCTAACGGTATGACATTTAGCTTGTTAAAGCTATAATTTTTTTAAATAGTATTTTTATCTTATTTTTATCTTTTGCTGCATCACAGTATTCTAGCCTCTTTGCAACCACTTCATGCACTTTTCTTGTAGAATGTGATTGCTCAGGGAGGGTTTCCAACTGCAACAATGGTGAACTTGCTTGGACAATTAGGTTTGGCACAGTCACCGCCAGAAGCTAACGTGACTGGGTGTTGTCACCTCATAACAGGAAGTCCCTGAACAAGGATTTTCATGGCAGGTTTACCAGGCTTTAGTTTATTTACAGCTGCAGATTTGAAAAGACTGTAAATTACTTTTGAAAATACATTAATGTGTGAAAGGTTATATGCTATTGATTGAGCTTGCATCTACTTTAAACACGTTGGCTAGAGGTAATGGTTTGCATTATCTGCATTAGAAACCACTATGTCAGGAACCACTGAACCACTGAGATTGAAAGCATAAAAATACACACTTGGAGCTCAAGCCGGAACTCTGG